CAACCTCGGGACCGCGACAGTCGCGGCGCCTTGAACTCCGAGGACACCTGCAACAAGGCACGACACTGGTACTATGCCATGCACGAGACCGCAGCTTAAGCAGCAAAGGCATTGCAAGCAGGAGGCCGTGTACTTCTTCTTCTTCTTGCCCGCCCCAGTGTCTGAAGACTCGTCCTGAGGTTTGCGGGCTTCGATGTGGAGACTGCAAGCTGAGTCAAACAGCGAGCAACCCTAAGAATGCGCCTTGTTCAGCACCTCCCCGTACTTCACGTCCTACGTTTTGCACATCCAAACTGCAGCTACGTAGCTACGTGAAGCGGCATCGGCATGTTGAGGCTCGCGCCTGTCTGAAAAGCTTCACAATGAACTCATTCGTGCTGGCCCCCATGCACTCGATGAGGTCCTGTGGCACTGACAAGGTATGGAGTTTGTTAGAGGCTGAATCTGAAGGACAAATCTCAGATCCCGACATTGCTGAGCTGATCTTTGTTTTTGTCCAGGAAGCCATCGGAACCTGCTCCGGTATGGACTCCGCGGAGTTGCTCTGCAGGGCAAGAGATAAGATTGCACGAATGCCGAGCAGCAGTAGCTCACGGGGCCGGCGAAGTGCTTGATCACAAACCTTTGCTGACAAGCACTTCCCTTGACTGTGAAACTTCCTGTGAAACAAATGGAGCAGTCTCTCGGCGCAGCACCACGAGGGCTTCGTCTTGATCTCGTCAAAGCGCCGGTGACCTCTGTGTCAGATGTGTTGGAACACGCGCGTCATTTGCAAGGCTGGAAGACACAAGGGAGCCAATTGAAAAGAACACAAAATTGCACAAACGGCACAAACGGCTGTAGATTTTCTGAGTTTGCTGTTCTGAACGTTCTCAGATCAGCACCTCGGTGCTGCTTGATCAGCTTGTTGGTGAAGCCCTGGTCCGAGCCTTGGGGGACAACCTCAGAGTGTCAGAGCTCGGCTCAAGATCCACTTCTAGTGATCGCCACACGATCACCACTTTCGCCACTATCACCACTTATGTCGTGAACGTCGTGTCTTCTGACGCAGGGCGAAAGCACGCTGGATGTGCAAATGCATAGATGCATCTGGCATGCATAGGCCATCCACCTTCTACACGCGCATTCACACCGCAGCTCTTCTGAGGGGTCGCTTTCTTCATGCTTCTTCATGTCCCTTAGTCCCTTTCTTTTGTTTCGCCGACCTTTCCTCTTTCGTGGGTCTCGCCTTGTGCTTCACTCATTCTGGCAATCTCACTCGGTCACCTTTCTTCTCTCTGTGGAGCTCACACACGCAGATACACGCAGGTCCTCACTCCGCGCAGCGCTGCACAGCCCAGGATGGGAGTCTTCAAAAAAGAAGCTCAGCTGTTAAAACGAGCCCTGGGCTTTGATTATCCACGAAGAAGCTCCCCCCCCCCCCCCCCCATATTTGAAGCTCTCTACCTCCTCTACCTCCTCTACCTCCTCTTCTTCCTCTTCTTCCTCTTCTTCCTCTTCTTCCTCTTCTTCCTCTTCTTCCTCTTCTTCCTCTTCTTCTCTGGCGGGGCTTAAGATCGAGGACGACCCCCGTCACCTCGCTCGAGGTCTCCGGGCTGCCCGCGATACTCTCTGCCAGTGCCCAATCATCTCTTCAACTCTTTCTCTCCCTCTTCTCTCCCTCGTGTTTCCTCTTTCTCTCCCTCTTCTTCGGGGTACCCCTAACCTGATATCACCCCCTGCAAACACACTTCGGCTGCGTTGTCTGAACTAACGTCTATTTCTTTGCCTCTCCTTCTACGTATCCCTCTTTGTTGTGTTTTTCTCTCTCCCCTTCTTTCTCTCTATGTCTCTCTCTCTCTCGCTCTCTCTCGCTCTCTCTCTTCTCTCTCAGCTCTCTCTCTCTCTCTCTTCTCTCTCAGCTCTCTCTCTCTCTCTCTCTCTCTCTCATCTCTCTCTCTCTCTCTCTCATCTCTCTCTCTCTCTCTCTCTCTCGCTCTCGCTTCTCAATTGTTTTCTGAAGCTTCCGGCGCACTCCTCATCGAGAATTGCGAAGACCCCGGTGCCCTCGATCGGTGAAGACACATTTGACACTAGCTGACTCATTGCCCACAACATCATGCTGCAGAAGTTTCAAATGGAGGCTAGAGGGCACTTCTCACGAATGAACCTCTGAGAAAAACTCCAAGGAACACTCTGAGACCACAGCCTTTGCTTGCAGCATGTCCACAGCATCCTGCGCTCAGCTTTTTGTTTCGTGGTCTTTTGTCCATTTCTAGGATTTCCTAGGAAAACCTCCATGCCCTCAATATTTTCATAGGATTCATCAAACTTTTCGTTGTTTGCTCGAATCCTTCTTCATTTCGGCTCTGTTTCCTTGGTCTTCTCTGAGAAAGAAACCCTCTATTCCCTGCATATTGTCATAGGAATCATTCCACTGTTCATGTGATTTATTATAAATTTGGCTAAGACATCGATGAGTTTTGCTCGAATCTCGTTTATACATTTTTCAACGGTTCAT